AAAAGAGAAGGAAATAATTTAGAGCATCTACCAAGGTTACTTTGCTCCTTTTGAGGAGCCTGGCTGCCTTGCCTCTTATATGCTCTGGTTTGCACATCTATGTTTGTTCCGACTGGATGCATTCTATCATCCGGGCTGGACTGGAAACTTTTGAGAAGCTGGAAAAAAATCTAAGGAACATAAACATTTCAAATTGAGCTAGTGAGCAAATGGAATGCATTCATTCTGAATATTTGCCATCAGTGAGCAGATTTTCAGCAAAACCTTGGCTTTCTTTTCTCTTGGCAAAACTACTTGCATCACAATAAGGAAGTTTGGCAAACTAGTGCTTTGATGATATTACTAAGGAAATGTACCAATGAATAAATGTATGTTTCCTTTGTTAGGCACAATATATTTGGGCTTAAGGCAAAATTGTATCATTAAAAACAAAATCATCATGGCAACATTCATAAAATAGAGATATGTTTTAAAGCAATGATATAAAATCGTGGGATATCTATGAAAATGTAAGGTTAGCAATTTGATTAAAATAAAAGGAATAGATTCAAGATCTTTTAATTGGCTTACATATTGATAAATACTTATCCCTAATGATTCTAAAAGTAACTTTTTAAGACGTTGAACAACTTATGTCTTGACAAAATTGATATTAGTAAGTATATCTAACTGCTTAAACTATTAGATTAACTTTATTATTATTTATACTTTTTTCAGAATATGCATCAATTTAAATGTTAGAGCTACTTCACCTCATTTGACTCATGGTCTAAGAGGTTGTAAATTCAACAAGCTACTTTTTCATTTATTACCATGATTTTGGTTATATTGCACATAAAAATACAAAAGGGTGTGGGAGGAGGGCAAGTGGGAGAAAATGAGGGAGGGGGTAACAAGTTTGACAAGAAATGTACTCACTACCTATCTTTAACTATAATCCCTCTGTACATCACCTTGACAATAAAATTAAATGAAAAAAATGCTATAAAATATAACTAAATTCTAAATACTTGAATTGTAATGGAAGAGCTCTACAGAAAGCTAAATGAAGAAAATAGATGTGAGTATACGTTATATACTCGTGATATACTCATGATAATCTCTGCTTTAAATGAAGTGTGTTCTTGAATTAAGTATAGTTGTAAAAATGACACATACACTGATGGAACAGAAATGAGAGCCTAGAAACCATTCCACGTATATAGACCATTACTTTAGGAAAAAAGTGTCAAGAACTCCAATGGGGAAAAATAGACCTTGGAGAACAAAACAAAAACAAAACAAACAGAGAAAACTCTAGATATCCATATATATAAGTGATATTGAACACCACATGCTATCTTACACTATACACAAAAGTCAGCTAAAATGCACGGAAGGAAGACCAGACTCAAACCATGAAAATCCCAGAGGAAACCACAGAGGGATACTTGTGCCAGCAGTAATTTGGCTATGACTCCCAGACATAGCCAGCAATAGCAAAAACATATGGAACGGTATTGTACTAAAATGTCTGGGTTTAATGAAATAAATACCCAACAAGATGGAAAAGGAAACTTGTTGTGGCTTAGGAGAAATATTTGCAAATAATTTACATGACAAAAGGTTGATATACAAAATAAGGAAGAATATTTCAAAAATAGACAAAGTAGCAAATAGACATTTTTTTTTCTACGAAGATACACAGATGACCAACCAGGTATATACTAAAAACACTCAGTATCACTGGTTCTCAAGGGACTACAGATAAAAGAAACAATTAGAAAATTATATCACACCTGTTAAATACCTTTCATAGAAAAGTTAATATATGTTGGGACTCTGTTGGTGGAAATGCAAAAAGAAAGCTACATGAAAGGTACTTAAAAATTTAAAGATGAGCCACTCTAGGAACCAGCAAGGTTCCTTATGGGTGTATATATACAGGAAAATGAAATCTATATCATGCATAGATATCTTCACTCTCAATTTGTTTTGTCCATAGGTATGTTTGTGTGTGCACACAAGTGTTCATGCATGAACATATGCATACATGCACACACATGTATACACATTTGTATATACATATAAGTATATTTACACATATAAACATGTATGAACATGTACATATATGGATATATAAACCATATTCAGTCTAAAATGGAAGTCATTCTATTTGTGAACAGTGTATGAACTTACAGGACATTTTAAGTGATTTTAAACCAGACACAGACACAGAAAGTATTCTTTGACCTCACGTATACATGGAAGCTATAAAAGTGAAATTGTTAGGAGCAGAGTGTAGAATTGTGATAATAAAGAATTAGATGAGGAAAGATGAGAAGGTACTAGTGAAAGTATATTAGATTTCAGTTATATAGAATAACCAGTACCAGAGCTCTACTGTGCACTGTGTACCTAAAATGTGAGAAGTAAGTTAAATGTACTTACCAGACACAAAAAAGCCACAATGTAAGAAAATAGATGCACTAATTAGTCACCTCATATTGTGTACGTGCACAAGAATAGCATATACTACACCTTAAATAAAGGTACATTCCATTACAAAAAATAAATAAGTTGTGTGCTTGGCTTGCAGGTATTTTTGAACTCATAAAAACAACCCTTTGGAAAAAGAACTTTTTCTTAAGTCCCGCATTTGGGGACTGGAGGAATGGGCTGTGTGTAAGCTGGAGGTCTTCTTATAGAGGCTTTTCTACAACATCAAATTGCAGGAAGTATTGAGTACTACAATTTCTATCTATCTAAAGATTTAATTTCAAACCTATGATTGTAGAGGATTCAAAGAACAAGTTTTATTCAGGTAAAGGCAAGTCAATAACATAACTACTCAGAGACATTCACTGTACCTATCTGGAGAAAAGATTGAGAGACCCAGTTTTGCACAACTTTGGACTAAACTCTCATGGCTTGAGAGTGTGGTACAGGAGAGTTCATTGAAGCAAATTCCCTGCAGAAAATCATCCTCACGCTGTCAAATAATGAGGTGATTAATTAATGGAGGTAGCTGCTGTTTTGTGGAAAAAATTGTGCAGAAGCTGAAAATAGGAAAAATGATGGAAGCTCTATTCTAGGGAGAAAGTGAAATTAAGTAGTGAAGGTATTTGACAAAATGAGTGAAATTATGACTTTTCTTTTGGTAAGTGGTAAATATTAGAATGTTCTGTATCTTTTGTGCCACATCTTTTGTGCTGTATATACTATATATTAAGTTCTATGTGAATTAATTTGCATTGTTGACCCGTAATTTCTGTGCACAGACCTCCAAAGGCTTTTCAACCTTTTCTAAAGAATTGTCAAACAGATTCAGTTCCACCAGCATTCAGTAAAAACACTGGAGAAAATGTGTTATTTTTCAGTGTGATTTTATCCCAAAAATGCTATATACCATCATTATTAATGATATATTTTTTGTCAGTTGTGGGGCTTGAACTCAGAATCTGGGCGCTGTCCCTGAGCTCTTTTGCTCAAGGCTAGTGCTCTACCATGTTGACCCACAGCACTGCTTCCTAGTGGTTAGTTGGAGATAAGGGTCTTATGGGTTTTATTGGCTTGGTTGGCTTCAAAGAGCAATTCCTCAGATCTCAGCCTCCTGAGTAAGTAGGATTACAGGCATAAGCCACTGGTGCTTGACTGATAAGTTACTTTTGGGTATTACTAATAATGCTGCAGAGTATGCTTGTTTAAAAAAAACTGAAAGTTGAGCTTAAATGATTTTTCTGCTAAGTAGTAAGCTATGCAAGATTGTTCAGTGTGATTAGCTTTGTTGTGTTCACATAGAACATCCCAAAAGTATGTGCTTGAAGTATACTGTGTTGAATTCTGAATGATGAAGGTATTTGTCCATTATACATTTATTTTCTTTTCATGCACTTTGTAATTGTTTTACAGAAACATCCATTACAATGGTTGGTCAGAGTAGAAATAATAACATAAACAACTTGAATATTAGTTCTCCTTTGATACTTTTTCTCCTCGCCTTGTCTCTTTCAAATGAGAAAATATACCACTGTTTACAAGCAAGATGCCATTCACGTAGCAATCAATGGACTCTTAATGTAGCCATTTCAAAATAATGCATAGGAATAGTAGCTTTTCCCTTCAGCCCTGGTACTGCTCTTTGCCCCACCACCCTTTCCATCCTCACAAGCAGAGGCTAAATCCTACTCCTGATGCTAAGTCATATTCACAAGGCGCCGAACAGACTGTGAGGAGCTGTGGTATGAAATCATTGCTGCCCCATTTTTTGCCATCACCTGGTGGTAATTGTGCAGTTAGCAGTGTACAGGTGTCTCTGGGTTTGGTGTACATATCACTTGATAAGAAAGCTGCTAAAGTACTTCAACAAATACTTCATTTATCTTAGGAGAAAGTGAAATTCAGAAACCAAGCTAAAATATAGTACAGTAAAAGTGAGATTCCTTGTGGTGTTAAAAACTAATGTAAACACAGAGATAGTGCATCTGTTTCCTTTGATTTAATTGCATTCATTTAAGCATTATCTTCAATGGCACTAACATTATTGAGTGTAAGGATAAAACTCCTATGTTTAGAAAAGATTCTTGGTTTTTGAAGATACAAATATTTTGAGTTTTCATAGTGACCCTTTGTAACATTTTCTTCTGAAAAATAAAGTTCTCCATGTCTACCACTGACTTAGAGCTTATAGAAGAACGTAAAATCTGAGGTAACAGAAAAGCACAATAGATAACCTGGAGCTGCATCCTAGATAAAGTTTTTTCCACTGAAGCAAAGATTCTTGGAGAATATCAAAGTCAAGTTGGAAGAGTTCCTTCAGAATCAGAGTCCAGAAATGAGTGACCAAATTTCTCTGGGGAGAGCATTGCTAGACCAAAGCCTGATCATACCTCAGTGGTCTCCAGTGACATCACAAAGTGCAACTTGTCACAAAGGAGGTACTTGGATGTAAACCTGGTCATTTGAGAGGTCCCGATGAGCAGAAACATCGCCTAAGCTAACAAGAACACATAGCAAACATCATGGCTAGAACTAAAAGAAGTGAGAACATGCCTAAGTCTAGGAGAAATCCTGTAACCCGCTCTGCAAGAGCAGAGCTCCAGTTTCCTGTTAGCCGTGTGGACCGGTTCCTGCGTGAGGATAACTATGCCCAGCGACTGAGCTCCTCAACACCTGTATTCTTGAGTGGCGTCCTCGAGTATCTGGTGTCCAACATCCTAGACCTGGCTGGCAACGAGGCCCGCAGAAACGGCAGGACACGCATCACCCCAGATCACGTGAAGATGGTTATAGAAAACCAGAAGCAATTCAATTATAATATCAAAACTCTAGGTGGTGAGAAGACCAAGCCCAAAGACTGAGACTGCGTGGCGCATTGGCGGGAGTTCAACACCGTCATCTGTCCTCTGAAATGTCCGCACACCACAGACGCTTATTAAACCACAGAGCCACCGAAAAATCATGCGTTATGCTTCTTTTTTCCAAAACATGAATGCTACTTAACCCATAACTCAGGAAGCCGTTTCTGAGAAGACAAATGATGTCCTTATGTAAACCTCTTCTTGATATTCATGGGGAAGTCTCAGACAACAAATTTTCTTCCACTAGGCTGTGGTGACACTTGAAGTCTCTTGCTGATCGGAAATTTTCATGAATGCTGCAGCGATGTCTCCCGTGTGGGGAAAGGCGTGGAGATTACGGTCAACAGCCTTTATGGTCTTCTCATTTGTTCCCTCTATCAAAGGGTTAATGTATACTTGGGTGAATAGCTGATGCTCTTTTATATGAAATTGTACATGCAGTCTCCTTAACTATATGAAAGGTATGCATTATTTATTTAATCCTTTTTTTTTTTTTACTGTCTTGGAGTTTGAAATCGAGTTTTCAGCCTCCTAGGTACACACTCTGCCACTTGAGCCATACCTCCAGTCTTTAATGTCACATTGATTTCTTTGATATGTTAGCTAATTAAATCATGCACATAGCACTGAATATTCAGAATCCACCCGACATAATCATACTTTCCATTTAATAAGTTTGATTAGACTTTTGGCTTAGGTTTCAATTGTATTTCATTGTGTCATCCATGAGTGAAATGGGATTTGGTGAAATTAATTCATGTGCAATTTTGCACATAAAAACTGACATTGCAGCTCAGATCATTGTAGTTTTGACTCTGCTCATTTTGCCCCTTCTCAACATGACCTATTTGAACTTTCTAGAAAATTCAATCTTTTCATCTTAGAATATAAAATATTGCAAAGACATCAATGAACTCTTAGTAAAATGTTGAAAGTGAGATTAAAAAATATTCCTGATTGAAATTCAAAAAAGCTTTCCTACATTTAGAGTATAAGTATTCATCTGTTTCTTCTATTTTTATGCTATGTGTATACATTTAAATTTCATTCGTGGCCAATGCCTTTAGCCCACAGCAGAAGAAAAATACACACACACACACACACACACACACACTTTTTCCTCTATGAACTTGACTACTTAGGAATGTGTTTCTACTTGACAGGCAATGACACGGACAGATGACTACAAATAGTACCTTCTTTCCTTTTTGCCTGTACTGGGCTTCAACCCAAGGGTCTATCACTATCTGAGCTTGCTTGCTCTACCATTGGAGCCACACCTCCACACCAGCTTTTTACTGCTTAACTGTACACAGTATCTTTGGGAATTTTCTACATGGGCTGGCTTTGAACAGTGATCCCAAAGGTCTCAACCTCCTGAGTAGGTGGGATTACAGGAATGAGTCACAAGCACCCTGCTAGCTTCTTAAACAGACGTAATTGTGACTTTTGTTAAAGATGTCATTACCTAGGCTCAGTGGGTACAGCTTATCTATAACCCTGCACAGTGTCAGGTAAGTAACTCTACCGGGTAATTGGGGAGCCATGTCCAAGATGGCAGGAAATGGAGTGTTGAACTGGGGTTAGCCAAGTAGATCAAGCTCCACTAAGGATTCTTTGAAACGTAGTGACTTGTTTTCAAGTATGGGCATCCCAAGAAATCTAGGAAGAAGTCTCCTAGTGTTGTAGTGTTTCTAAGACCACCCAGATTTCAAAGGAAGGCAGGGCAAGTCCACTGCCCTAAAGGATAATGTCATAATCACCGTGCTGGAAGAATACAAGTGATAGCTATGAGTGCACATTTAGAAATATTTTCCATCACTGCTGTTAACAAATGTATTTCTCAAGAGAGGAGAGCATTTGATTTTTATTGGAAATGGTAATATGGTTAAGAAATCAGGAAGCACGCACAGGCAAAATTACAAAAGAACTTTTTCATCCACTGGACTAAGATCTAAATGAGGAAATGATGCTGTTGTTGCTGGGCCTGACTCAATGATCACCCTGCGCGCTTTTGGGTGTACCTCTCACAATGTATACATATCTGAGAGGTGTCCAGTTGAAGGCTGCCTGTTTTTGTATGATCCACAGTTCATGTGGTGTTCTTTAAGGGATTTGTGGGGTGGGTTTGCAAAATTTTATTTCAATAAATGTTGCTGGAAATTTTAATTTTTCTTTTAGGACACCACTAAACTGATTTCCAGTTAATTGTTTGATTATGCAGTGCCTTGCCGCTCCCGGAGCTTCAGAATGAGATTCACTGATGGATTCCTATTACAAATCTTCCTGGAATTCGGAATCTTGCAGCATATGATTTAGGCTACAGAACTGGACTGAAGTCCTCTTTCTCTTATTCACTTAATAAATATTTGTTGAGGATTCCCAAGGTCATAGATTTTAATTATGGCTTTTGACAACAGAATAGAGATAACCTAATAAATTGGAAATTGTTTATTTATTTGAAATGATGGATTTAATTTGCTCATTCATTTATTTGTAGTTGAGTAAGGCCCAGGGAAGATGAGGAAAATTAAAATCTATTTATTCAACTTAAATATGTACACAACTATGAATAAGGCTCATGCCCTTGCCCTTTAAGAGAAGGGACAATACATGTTTGCCACAATTGGGACCTAAGACAATGGTCAGTTCAGCAAGTGCCTCTCCACAGACAGCCACGTGTCCCCCATCAGCGTGCTCTGCCTCTTCTCTCATGGAGACTCTTCTGTTATTCTGGTCATGGCCATATCTTCTGTGGTATCCCTAAGTTCTGTAATACATTGTTACAGTATACAATTATTGTGATAACTTGGAAAACTTTTAATTTTTTTTCTTTTCATTATCTACTAAAATGGACTTGGGCAGTGAACTGAAGCTAGGATTGTAAGTGTACTTAAATAATCACTTTCCTCACGATTTTCAGTGTCTATTTTCCCACATATTCCGTGAAGCCAGTCCTTCTTGGATCACTGAAGTGACAGGATGGTTGTTCACTGATGTTCTTCTATCTTCAGTCGATGCTCTATGACACATACCTGGTTTAGGTGGTTGTGTATTTAAATACATGAAGAAATGGTTGATCCCTATTTTTCTGCTACAAGGTAACACATTAAGTGATTTTGAAGAACAGAGACTTACTTGTCATAGTTGTATTGGTCAGGAGACCTGTGTCTAGCAGCTAATGTCTTCTTGTGATGTTTTTTTCCTGGAAGGGGGTGGATCCTCCCTCCCTGTCTCCAATATGTGATAGAGAAGAGGAGAAAGAGTGGAGCATTAACAGAGGTCTGGATTTGTTTTTTAACACACTTGCATAGTAACACACCCACTGTATTTTAAATTTGTGTTTCTAAATTATATACTATAGTGAAATACATTCTACTTATCCAGGCTACACAGGTTCTATTGCAGTACAATTAAATTCTATGTTCTCTATAAATCGTGCATTGCTTTACAAGGGTCTGTCGTTCTTTTACTGGGAGAACTTTTAGGAAATGGGGGTTAAATGAGATTATTAGTCCTTTTCTAGGGCTGTAAAAACTTCTATTAATCCATATATATAGTATATATATATATATATATATATATATATATATATATATATATTTACCCTCTCTAGTCATTTGAATTGCTCTTCACATAAGAGTAAAGTTAAATGTTGTTTGATTTTGTAATGATTCACTCTAACCCAAAATGATTGGATTTCTGCCTGGATTTTATAGTTTAATTAATTTGTTCATAAAAGGTGTTAGTTACAGGAACTTGTGTGTGGTTGCTGTGTGTTTAGTGAATACTGGTTAGCATGAGCTTCAAGTTCGCCTGTCTCTGGATGGAGAGCGTTGCTTCTGGAGATATGAAGCAGTGTAAGGGGAAGGCTTTTTTGGTTGATGATTAAATTGGGCAAAATGAATGTATTGGTATTTACAATGTAAGAAAATGGAGTGTTTTGTAAAGATTTTTTTCCTTGCATTTAATAAACTATCATTATGCAAAACATTACTTGTAAGTTGGATACTGTTCATTGTATTCTTCCTTTCTATCTCTCCCATCCTCTTAGTCGATAATCTAAGGCTCCTATTGATTTAACCCTTTCTTGTTCTGTAGATGTAGCGGAATAGTGAGTGGAGACCAGGGTGTCACCAGCCACGCCATAATGCTCCAGACAGCCACTGACAATTAAAAACTACCCATTCTAAATGTCCATAGTGCTAACGGTAAAAACCAATGTTCTTATGCCATAGGCAGACTAGATTTTGTGACTATAGTAGAATGACCCTTTGACACAGTTCAGATGTCTCCAGACAGAAGGTTTCTTTGGTGTTCTTTGTCCTGCACAAATTAGGTGCACTCGCCCCCTTACAGGTGATCTAGAGCAGTCTCATTGAGTTGTCTCTCTTCCTAATCCCCAGAGACCCGGTTCATGTGGTGATTCCGTCTTTATGTTGGGGGTGTCAGGACAGCAGTGGGGGAGTCTTTCTGAGGTAAACAGGTTCATCCCAAAGCACCTACCTCTTCTCCCCTGTCTTCTTCCTCCTCCTCTTTCCACATGTACATGTCATTATTTGAGGTATTGGCCCAGCATCTGCCTGACAACATGGCATCCGGCCTTTGTCATTTCTTGCACAACATAGTGATTTCTACTTCTACACAATTTTCTTTATGGATATAAACCATTCCATTGCAAGTGACATGGTGGCTCAAGTAGTAGAGTGCTCACCTTGAATTGAAGAGCTGAGAAACAGCGTCCACGCCCAGAGTTCAAGCCCCACGACCAACAAAACTAAACAAAAAAATCATTCCATTGTGTAGATATAAAGGATATATTTATCATATATGTGGCATAATATATATGCACACACATATAGACATAATAGATCAGCACAACAGAATCATACAGATGTGAATGTAATAGAAACGTATATATGTACATATAGATATATACTTTATATGGTTATAGGTGCTTATCTCTTTCCCTCTGTCTGTATACTTGTATGCATGTGTTT